GCGACCCAAAGCGGTCCCACTGGTCGCAGATGCGCTGGCAGCGGGCATTCACCGAGGCGGAGTCGTGGTAGTTGAGCGAGTACAGCTCCTGGGCGATGGCGGCAATCTGCTCGACGCGGTCCTGATGCGCCGACAGGTCGCTCTCAAAGGCCTCGTGCTTCTTCTTCAGCGCCTTCACCTCGTAGAGGCGGCAGTTGCGAAAGTCCTGCGACTGCAGCAGGGCCTCCTTCCCGCGCGTCCACTCCTCGTGCGTGTCCGCCTTGTGCTTGAACTTCTGCGCCAGGTGGTCCAGGCGCTCGAGGCGCATCATCTCCGAGAGGAGCCACTCCTCGAAGCCCTTCTCCGCCAGCTCCAGGCCCTTCCAGGCGCCGTTTATGTCCCGGACGGTCTTCCCCTCCGAGGGCATGTAGGCGGGCCGGTTGCTCAGCCGCAGCTTCGTCTGCAGCGTGTTGAAGTTCGTCTCCAGCTTGCCCTTCTGCTCCACCCGCGGCGGCTTGTGCACCCGGCGGTAGGCCCTGAACTCCTCCAGCTTCTTCTGCGCCGTCGACAGCTTGTTGTCGGTGGACTTGTTCTCCAGCCAGGGGGTGGTGCGGCGGATCCAGTCGAGCAGGTCGCTGGCCAGACGCTCGTACTCCTCCATCAGCCGCTCGTTGTCCTGGTTGACGCGCAGCACCTTGCAGATGCGGTTCGCCGCCGTCTCCGCCTAAAAGGGTTGAGAATTTGATTTTGGAAAGGGGAAACAAATGTGGGTGATTAGATGATGATCAGTGTGATAAAAGGAAAAAAAGTTGAATGTAAAAAGGGTAAAATGGTGTTTAGCAGCGCGCTAGCAAAGGCAAAAGTTAGATTTAATCATTTTCATNGCAGCACCTTGCAGATGCGGTTCGCCGCCGTCTCCGCCTAAAAGGGTTGAGAATTTGATTTTGGAAAGGGGAAACAAATGTGGGTGATTAGATGATGATCAGTGTGATAAAAGGAAAAAGGGGTAGAATGTAAAAAGGGGTAAAAATAGTGTTTAGCAGCGCGCTAGCAAAGGCAAAAGTTAGATTTAATCATTTTCATTTGTCCTACCTGTTGAGCCCCGGAAAAGGTGTGGTAGTAGGAGGAGACGTAGGTCATGATGGCTCGCTCGTCGGGCATGGGACTACCCGCGAGGTCTGGTGGTGGTGATAGTTATTGGGATTTAGCAGCAGCAGCAACAGCATCAAAATTGAAGGAATTATAAGCAGCGGTTAGGGGGAGGCGCACACACACACAAAGGGATGGAGGAAAGAAAATTGGAGGTTTTGGTTAGCAAAAAGAGTAGAGGTTAATAAATTTGGTGCCAAAAATCTCGCAAGTTAGTTCGTCAAATCAGCACACTCACACTACATTTTGCACACTCAGTTCTCTACAGTAGCAAGGAAGTTGAAAAGCAAAATATGGAATGTTAAGCACTCTTTTTTGGGTGAGTTTTTACAGCAGTTTTTAGGTCATCAGGTGAGGTGTTAATACAATTTAATCAACCACCACTGCTTACCTTGTGAGCCCCCTGCAGAGCGTGGTAGTAGCAGGAGACGTAGGTCATGACGGCTCGCTCGTCAGGCTTCGCCACGTTTACCATATCTAAACATTTGGCGTCAAGTGGAGGTGTTGTTATACCCAAACAGATTCAAAGTTGATGATGAAACGGAAGCAAAGGAAGCACCCTGAACACTCGCTCAAACTACTAAATTCTAAAATCGCTAACTTCTTACTTCTGCTGACTTTGCTATTATCATCTTCATTAACATCTCACTCACTCACACACTCACAATCGCGTGGCAAAACTACAACAAAAATGGCACCAATTTCCCCTACCTTCAGCGTCCAACATGCGCGGAATACCCAGGTGCTTCTCGGCAATGTCAAAGGCGAGATTCAGATTGTGCAGCGGATTGTCCTGTGAAATGAAAAAAATGGTTAGGATCCTATTGAATTAAATTGCTATTCTTCAATAGTCACCGACCTTGGACAGCTTGGAGTAGTCAATCAGATCCGGTCGGTGGCGGTGGATGAGGGCGCAGAAGGCGAGGCCGTCCTTCCAGCTCAGGTGGAAGTTCTGCACGTTCACATTGCGATAGGGGGCCGTCTTGCGCTGGCACCACAGCAGCAGACCTTCCTTGGCGGTCATCTCTGCAAAGGGAGAAAGGAGAAAGGAGAAAACATTTCAATTAGCATTTCATTGTTCCATTGTCTACTCTATTCAAACAAACAAACTCCTCTCTCTCACCTTCCACCGAGATGTCCTGAATGGCAAAGCGGAGGATGATCGTCCAGATGAGGCCCAGTGTCATCTTGGTGTTGCCGTCGACGATCTCCTCGGCGCCGATGGAGACCAACTTGACGCCCTTGCTGGCGATAAAGTCCAGCGCCTTGTTGACGTTGGCGATCTTGTGGAAGCGCATCTTGCCCCGGTCGGGCTTCGGCAGCGTCTCCCCCGAGATCACCTCGAGGAGGAGCATCAACTTGAGGCCGTTGCGAAAGTCCTCCTCGATGTTCTCGATGGCAGTGCCCGCCTTGCTCAGGTGCGAGTTGCACCAGGCGGTGAAGGTCTGCAAAGAGTGGAAGAAAAGAGGAAAGAAAAAAACAAAGTAAGTCATCGGTCATTGGCGTTGAAGAATGAAAAAGATGAAAAAGGATGAAAAATGGAAAGCAAAATGGAAAGGGGAAGGGAAGGGAACAACAACAAACTGTCCCGATCGGTCAAGCAGCTGTCAATCTCTCTGTGCGCTGCTCCATCACCATCAGCCATTCGCCGCCATTCACCACTGCCATCATCAGCCATTTGCATACAAAACAGACACTGTGCACTAGACAATCTCTCTCCTTGCTCCCTCTCTAATTGCCAAGTGGCATGAGCAGCAGAAGAAGAAGAAGTGCTCGATTTCACAGCTTCTTGCAGGTGAACAACGAGTGCTGGCCCAAGTGTTTTGCGCAGACATGTCAATGCCAACAGCAGCAACAGCAGCAGAAAAAAAAGAAACACACTCTCAAAAAATGACACTGACGTAATGAGGCGAGTAATAATAGAGCAGAAAAGATCGGCAGCAGCAGCAGCAGCAGCAGTGGTCAGCGGAGGTGACCATTTGTTTTGCCCTCTCTTTGCTAATGTGCAAAGAGAAGGTCGCCAATTAGAGTGGACAAAGTGGAGGCAACAGCTTTTTCGACAGATCAAGTGCTAAGCTTAGCTTGGGTGAAGAGGAGTGCTGCAGGTGACAGGCACAGAATAATGTGTGACGACTAATAGCCGCAGTTTTGCCTGTGCAGTACGTCTCTGTGCTAACAACGAGTAGACACAGGTGACAAATAATAAACGGTGTGACTTTGAGTCGCTGAAGAGGCAATGAGGGAAGACAGAGACAATGAATACATGGACTTCCTAACAAACTCCTTTCCACGTTTAGNTAAGCTTAGCTTGGGTGAAGAGGAGTGCTGCAGGTGACAGGCACAGAATAATGTGTGACGATAATAGCCGCAGTTTTGCCTTGTGCAGTACGTCTCTGTGCTAACAGCGAGTAGACACAGGTGACAAATAATAAACGGTGTGACTTTGAGTCTTTGAAGAGGCAATGAGGGAAGACAGAGACAATGAATACATGGACTTCCTAACAAACTCCTAACAAACTCCTCTCCACGTTTAGAAAAACTCTGGCGGCTTTTCAATGTATCTGTAACCATTTTTAATCCTCTTCTTCTTCTGAGCTATCTCCGAGCCAACCAATTACACCGCTGGCCGCTGCTCACTATTCATCACCTCACCTCGCTCATTTGTCCTCGATTAAGACAAATTAAGATTGGTATCGCTTTCGCTGTTGCTTTGGCAGTGGCTATCTGGTCAACCATTTTTCGATGGCGATTAGCCCAGTGAACACTAACGACAACAGCAGAACAAAAATCAGACACTGAAGACATGAGTGATCGATGTTCAGTGCATCCGCTCTGCCAGATCATCATCAGCAGAAAGTGGCATCAATAACTGCTGCAGTTGCTGCTGCTGCTGCTGAAAATAGCTGGGGGAGTTGGAAATAAGGCTAGTCAGCTCATCAGTCTGCTTAGTCGCCAGCACTCATCGATCTTTGATCTANGAAAACTCTGGCGGCTTTTCAATGTATCTGTAACTATCTTTAATCCTCCACTTCTTCTTTCTGAGCAATCTCTGAGCAATTACCGCTGGCCGCTGCTCACTATTCATCACCTCACCTCGCTCATTTGTCCTCGATTAAGACAAATTAAGATTGGTATCGCTTTCGCTGTTGCTGTTGCTTCGGCTTTAGCAGTGGCTATCTGGTCAACCATTTCTCGATGGCGATTAGCCCAGTGAACACTAACGACAACAGCATCAGCAGAAACAAATCAGACTGAAGACATGAGTGATCGATGTTCAGTGCATCCGCTCTGCCAGATCATCATCAGCAGAAAGTGGCATCAATAACTGCTGCTGCTGCTGAAAATAGCTGGGGGAGTTGCAAATAAGGCTAGTCAGCTCATCAGTCTGCTTAGTCGCCAGCCAGCACTCATCGATCTTTGATCTCAGTCAGCTCAGTCGATTAGTGCACACGCCGTCCAGGCAGGCAAGCATTGATCTGATGCTGAAGATAGACAAAAGGACAACAAAACTTCGTCCAAAAAAACGCAGTCCCAAGTGTGCATACCATTTTTTCTTCTGTCCAAAAATGCTCCAGAACAGATCGTCTTTCAGAGCACTTCCCTGAAGACAGCACTTTCCCACTGTGACACCTTTGTCTAACTCTCACAGTCGAGTAGTAGTGCACTATCATTTTGTCGCCCATTGGTGTCCACCACCACCACCACCACCTGTACAACCCCTTTTTCTCAGCCCAGCTCCCCACTAATTAAGTGCTGAACGTCCCCACAGACGTCCACAAATTACTGTCTGATCCCTTTTACTGCTCGGCGTGAAAAGACGCCACGAAAACGACCAAGAAGGCGACGCGCGCAATCAAAACACAATTCGATTAATCATCTAGGCAACAACAGCAGGCAACAATGATACACTCTGCTTCAGAGTGCACACACTCACTTACTCGCTGGTCAACGGGGTGAATGGCAGAGAGAAATAGATAAATGGCAGAAAATAAACCGAAAAGAAAACTAGAGGTGTCTGCCAACACGGGCAATTAACACACATGGTGTCTTATAAACGACTGGAGCGACCGGTAATTAAGCACACTCGGACGAGTCAATGAGCAGCAGCAACAACACTTGCACACCACCAACAAAAAGACGGCAAAAGTCAAAGCAGAGCTAATTGTAATTAGTGGCATCAAAGTGGGGAATAAATAAAACCGACAGGGATTGAAACAGCATCGCTAGAGTGGCAATTCCACAGCCATTGACGACTGGTGTGCAATACACACACACACACACACGGCAAGGCCAGAGAGCCTGCTGTGCCAAAGCAAGTACAAGTACAAAAGAACAGCGAGAAAAATGAGACAGGAAGCAACAGACAAACAGTGTTTGCACTCTTATTTTACACACACACACACACACACACAAGTCAGGCAAGCCATTGCCTTTTACAGCTGCTG